TGGCAGAAGACTCTGAAATGAGAATTTATATACAAACCTTGAGAATTTGCAGTGTATATTCCAAGAAATTAGGCATAAATATTTGAGACAAAATGCAAGGTAAGTGATATTTATATAAAAAATGAACATTGAGAATTTAACAGGGTTAGATAAGTTGTTGGTTAGTTGTTATAAATCTCTCACCCTGACTCAGAAAACCCAACACTACAAGCAGAGTTATTAGCAACATCATCCTGATGCAGTTTTCAGTGTATGTGCATGAAAACAGTTCAGACTCTCTGTGACAGAAGAACTTAAACTCTGAGGAGCAGTGATGCACAAAAGTTATGCAAAATACATTTGGGAACAACCTGTTGTGTAAGGGAGAGATGAGGTGGATTAAGTACAGACTACATCTCCCTGTGGACTGATTAAGCACATGTGGAAACCTATAGTTTTCTGTTCCTCTCTGCTGTAATACCTTTGTCTTCATGAATAGATACAGGCACTCCAGCTTCACAACAACTTTATAATGACATGAGGTTGATTTTGTATTTTATTTCCATGATCATGTACATCAGTCTCTTAATTCAGATGCTTCAGCTGGGATATAAAGAAAAATAAAACTGTACTTTCAAACAGAGGCCATGAATGAAACTTAACCTCAGTGTTAGCAGACATTAAACCTTATTTCCCTCCTACCATTAGCATTCATAGGCCTTCGTGTGTTATTTGCAGCAGAGTAGGCCAACATCAGTAACTTTTTAAGCCTTTATCAAGTGAAATATAATTATTTTCATAATTGTGTGGTAAGTTTCAGTCATTTCTTCAATTAATTTATAAATTGTTGGTTCATTTATGAATTTTACACAATGTATTCATATGACGATTAGTTCATAATGTCTTGTTTATTTATTTATTGTTAAACACTTTGATAAAACTGATTAGGTGACTGTGACAAAGTGTAAAAGCGTTTTGAGTGGTTGGAAGACCACTATGTAAGTATTGACCATTTAACATTGCGTTACAGACAAAAGAGTTGAAGCCTCACTGGAGTTGATTTGTCACCTTCAGTTTGAAGATGATAACACAACATGTGTGTGAAAGTCAAGCACAAATCCAAGTTTACAAAACAATTAATCCTGAGAGCAGGAGAGAAAATCAGCTGTTCTGTGCTACACCAGAGTCAAGACTGAGGCTGGGGCGGATTAAAATGAGAAATGTTCAGATCAAACAGCAGAAGTGATACTATGCTTTGTAATAATGAGGATGAGGATAATCAGGAATGAGCGCAGAAGTCAGATTGCTTTGGTGTAGGTGGTTGCTGCAGATGAAAGAACAGCTTTACAAAAATCCTTACTCACTGAATTGGGGTATAAACAACACTGTTGCAGAAGGAGGCCCTGTTATTCTGAACTGAGGTCAGGGTGATAATACAGCAACTAAAACTGAGAAGGTCGCTACTGTCAGAGTCTGTTTAGCTGACAGTAGATGTGAATGGAATATGATGTGGTGTCCTTAGATTTTAAAAGTCTTTTAATCAATGTATTAATATGAATCTGTAGTTTGTGCTTAGTGAGATTACTGTCAGCTCTGTGTTCATTGGTCTGAGTCTCTTCCTCTGCACATGGTTCCTGCTATAACAGCTCAGTGTCTCTGCAGTCTGACTGAGGGAGGTTTCTGTACGACTACAAATGACTGTGTGAACACCCAAGCACTGCTTATTTCATCGTATCTCTCACAGTAATAAACTGCTGCATCTTCAGTCTGAACTCTACTGATGGTCATCTCAGCATTCACTCCGTCTCCTCTGCCAGAGAATCTGGAAGAAAACTCACTTGTAGGATTTTTACCCAGTTTGATGACCAACTTGGGAGCTTCTCCAGATTTCTGCTGATACCAGTGTACTCTACTATCTCCATCTGACCATGTCTTAACTTTTGGGTTGGTTTTACAGGTCAGAGTGACTGTGGCTCCAGGAGAAGATGTGATAACAGCTGGTTGAGTGACAGTCAGTTCACTACTAGATCCTGAATAATGGAGGGAAACATTGAACATTAATTCACTCACATGTAGACACGTATGTTAAATCCTGCAATTACTGCATGTATGTGAATGATTTTAGTGATCTGATTAGTTTCTAATTTTATGTTCATAATAATCCTGACCTTTGAGGCAGCAGCAGGCCAGCGTCCAGATGAGGATGGTGATGAGAGTCATGGTGGTTGTGGTTTCTGACGTGTTGACTGACAGATCTGAGTCCTGCAGTGTTGAACTCACAGACTATAAACCTTCTCAGTTCACTGGAGGATCAGCTGACGATGCAAAGCCTCCTCTCTATGGAAATGATTTCTCTGTTCTCAACAGACTGAAGCCAACGTGGGACACAAAATCAGGAGAAGTTCTGCTTGGATTTACACCATGTATGATCTTAATGGAACAGAAAAACAACATTATATTAGAAGTTGAGGATTTAAGGATAAGTTTGTGTCCACTGTAGTTGGTATGATATGTTTATTTGTCTGCTTTTAATTAATGACAGGGTTTACTGTAGTTAAATAACATATTCCATTCTGCTTAACATGAAATTGTCTTTATTATCATCTAAATGCATTATGTTAATTAAACCATGGATTAAGTCATTTAAAACTGGGGAGGAAATTACATTGTTGCAAAAAGACTGTAAATGTATCTCTGTCAGGTGTAGATATGTGAAAAAAATAATATCAATAAACTTCATTAAAACCGTAAATTTAATCCATATTGTTGTATAAACTTTGTGGATTCCATGAAATGTTTTTTTTTATGTGTATTAGAAAACCAGAGCATTTTTTCAGTGTATAGATACTTGTTCACAGTGCAGGAGGTTTTTGTACGGCCACTTAATGAGTTTGTATCACTGTGGTACACTTTTGGTGGAGGAACCAAACTCATCGTTGACTGTAAGTACCAGAAAGTTTTATTTCATAACACATATTGCAAATATGACATTTATTTGACATTGAACGACAATATGATCATGTTCATTGTTTTTATGTTGTTAATCATTTTCAATATTTTATTAAGCTAATCTCACAATCTGAGTTAAAACTCAATATTCATTCAGTATTGCAGTTAATTAAAATTTCAAGAAACAAAAAATACTCATTTGTTTTATTATTTTCTATTTTTTATTTGGTAGCTTTGAATTGTTTTAAAATGTCTAAAGGAACATTCTGTTAAGTAAAACTTTTAGTGCTCTTAGATAACATCAGTAGTTTAATTTAATTTTTGTTTATTCTTTTCGTGCATTCAAAATGTTTTTTGATTTTAAAAACTGGATTCCTGTAATACAAATATGATTTTATCAGTAAATGCAGCTTATCTTTGTGTTCACGGTTCATTCATTTTACATGTAGTGAACAGGAAGTGAAAGAGACAGATGACAAGTTTTAGCTGTATTCACATGAGTCTGATACTAAGTGATACATGAGCAGCTGCACAAGTTATTCTGTTTCATTTGATAAAATATAGGAAATTACCAGCAAGTAATTTTTCTCCATTACCAAGCCTTCACTCTCATTCCTTTGTCTTACTCCCACCTCTCTCTCCTCCCCCATTCTGTCCTCCAGTGGGTGTGGTGCGGCCCACCCTGACTGTCCTCCCCCCCTCCACAGAGGAGCTGCAGCAGGGCAGTGCCACACTGGTGTGTCTGGCCAGTGGGGGCTTCCCCTCAGCATGGAGGCTGGGCTGGAAGGTGGGGGGCAGCAGCTCCTCAGGGGTGTCACACAGCCTGGAGGTCATGGGGAGGGACGGCCACTACAGCTGGAGCAGCACCCTGAGCCTCCCTGCAGACCAGTGGAGGAAGGCGGGCTCAGTGAGCTGTGAGGCCAGTCTGAATGACCAGAGCCCTGTCACTCAAACCCTGGACCCTGACCGCTGTTCAGAGTAGAGCTTCAGCAACACTTTCTCTCTGGAAATGATGCTGCTTCTTTGATACAGATGGGTTGATGAAGCTACAGATCTCCTCTGTTCTCATACGTCTGCAAGTTTCAAAGCTCTCTACTCAGTGTTAGTGTGCATGTTGCTTTCTAAAATTTTCTACATATTCTTCTTTGTGTCCTTAACTTTTCAAATTAAACTGAATGTTATTTTCATTCCAAGTGAAACTTTTCACTCATCAAAAATGTGGCATGAATATTAAACCATCATTAAATAAAACTGTGTATTATAATTAGTAAGTGTCCTTGTATTTATTTTATAACACATTATCTAAGCATCATTCCTGATTTTAACAGTATACGTGATAGTACAAATCATTTTTAGTTTTTTTTTACTTTGTGACATTTAAATTGTTGATATCTGTGGCTTTAGTTCTACAAGAATTTAAGTTTCCCAGCTCACTCAGAAAGAGACTTTATAAACTAACAAGAATATACCTTTAAAACTAAAATGGAAGAGCTAATGTGAGTTTGTTTCAGATATATTTAGATTAATTTTTGTTCTGCTTGATGACTCTTGCATTGTTTTCACTGGACCAGATAAACAGTCAAACTGAAGGAGGTTTTTGTACGGCTCTAAATCACTGTGTGAACACTCCACTACCATGGTAGCCCAGACTGTAGTAATCTCCAACATCTTCAGCCTGAACACCACTGATGGTCAAAGTGTAGTCTTGGTCTTTGGACCAAAGATGAAAATATGTCAGACACATTTTCAAGCTCTCTCACCCTGACTCAGAAAACCCAACACCACAAGCAGAGTTATTGGCAACATCATCCTGATGCAGTTTTCAGTGTGAGTGCATGAAAACAGTTCAGACTCTCTGTGACAGAAGAACTTAAACTCTGAGGAGCAGTGACGCATAAAAGTCATGCAAAATATATTTAAGAAGGCAAACACACACCTGTTCTTGTGAAACAGAAAGCAGTGGTGACATAGAGGGGAAGTTAATCTTGAGGATTATTCGGCCATTTATTCATAGAACTACATTTATATTGTTTCTCTTCACTGTGAACATTCTTCTCTTGCTTGTGTCTTGTCCCAGATGATTTTGGGCTCATTAACAGATAGTCAAGTTCAAGTTTATTTATATAGCACATTTAAAAACAACCCTAGCTGACTAAAGTGCTTTCCAGGTTCAGGACACACAACACATACACAACAAAAACGAATGTGTCTCAGTTGGAGCTGCTGTTTTATGCTGTAAAGTGTTGGACAACCACATCTTCAGGAATAATGTGATTAGCTCAGCAGCAAGATACGAACAACTGTTGATGGCCAGGATACTAAAGTGTAGTCCGTTTTTACGTTTTAAAACACAATGTTAAATGTTTTTCTCAAATAAATGTTCCGCTATTTACTAACAAGATGAATTGTGACGATCTTTTGGGACAGAATTCAGATTTTACATTAATGCAAAGCATCTACTAATACTGCACTACAGTAAGAGTAGATGATGAACATATTGAGTTATATTTTATCTTTTGACTCTCTTTTCAACAAAAAATTTAAATATACATTTACCTGATGCTTTTTATCCAAAGCGACTTGAAGTTGCTACATATGTCAGAGGTCACACTCCTCTGCAACTAAAGGTTAAGTGTCATGCCAGGGACACAGTGGTGGATGTGTTGCAGCAGGAATGGGAATTCAAAATAGGAATCGAATCCAGGTCTCAAATGCCACATGTCTTCTCCACTGCTTCATGAATAAAAGTTTGTTTAACTAAAATGTGAAACAGGATCACCATTTTTTCCCACTTTTTAAGTGAATATGAAATATGTGCTTGGTGACATTTATAGGTTTCACTGCATTAGGTTAACCAACCTTGCACCATATGTACCACAGAATGTATTGTGACAGACTATACGATTCGTTTACATTATTGTATTGTGTTTTTATCTAGTTCTGTGTCACTTTCCTTTGCAAGGAACATATAACATTGTTGTTCCTTACTGACAACCATGTGCAGTTATTCACATTTCACTGAATTTTACCATTTTATTTCATCTGTCCCTCATTTCTCCCATTCCATTCCATGGTAGCAGTCTGTCCTACAGTGGAGGTTGTAGTAGTAGCAAGTAGCAGTAAGCCAAACATTGCAGGGATAAATTATTTACTGTAGATACAAAAGTTTCATTGAATGATAATTAATGATACTTTTCCATTACATTTACAGGAGAGTTGTGTTGCATAATTCTTAGTGATTTATGATGACTATCTCCATCCGACCAAACATAAACTTTTGGGTTGGTTTTACAGGTCAGAGTGACTGTAGATCCAGGAGAAGATGTGACTACAGCAGGTTGAGTTACAGTCACTTCACTACTTGATCCTGAAAGAAGGAGGAAAAACACTGAACATTAATTGGCGCATTTTAAGATGTAAACTGTTCACGTTTGTTATATCCAGCAATTAGTTAATGTATGCTTTTAGTGATTTGATTACTTTGGAATTTCATATTTAAAATCATCCTCACCTGTAAAACAGCAGTAGGCCAGCGTCACGATGAAGATGGTGATGAGAGTCATGGTGGTTGTGGTTTCTGCTGTGTTGACTGACAGATCTGAGTCCTGCAGTGTTGAACTCACAGGACTATAAACCTTCTCAGTTCACTGGAGGATCAGCTGACGATGCAAAGTGTCAGTATGAAAACTCTCCATTGTAAGAATGAAGGAAATGAATACTGGATAAATATCTGTTACTAAGTTTCCTCCAACATTTAGACATTTTATCAAAATATTTCAAAACGCTAAAAAAACTGTACCATAATATTCATGTTATCAATTTGCAATTTGAAGGACATCAATTAATGATAGAAAGCTTTTTAAAACATTTTCTGTCACATTTGTGTGTTTTGAGCTCAGTGCTGTGTGGTGGAGGTTTTGTGTTTTTAACCAGCTTGAATCACTGTGTTCAGGGTTCGAAATTAGTGAGGTCCAGATATTTTGTTTCTTTAATAGAGCTTATTTACAATATTTTAGTGAAGGCTTGAACCGGGCAGTGGGCGCAGCACTGTGTTTGGGGGAAGAACACTAACAACAGGCTGTTCATCATGGTCTTTCTCCTTCACTTTTGGGTTTTCTAAAATTGCATAAAATAAGAGGTTGGAAGGTAAGTTTATTTTGTCCCAATATACATTAATAAAGAAATAAACTATAGTCAGTGGAGCAGTGCTGAGGATGAATTTGAGTTTAAAAGTCAGATAGTTTGGGGGAAAAAGCTGCTCTGCAGTCTGGTGGTGTGACAGCAAAAACTTCCATATCTCTTCCCAGAAGGCAGCAGGGAGAACAGGCTGTGGCTGGGTGGGTACTGTCCTTAAGTATCCTTTGGGCTCTGCATACACAGCTCACCTCACAGATATCACTGATGCTCAGGAGATGGGTACCAATGATCTTCTGAGCAGTTTTAATCACCCACAGCAAAGCCCTCCAGTCCTGGGCCGTGCACATCCCATGGCAGTTTGTGATGTTTTCTGTCAGGGTGCTTTCTATTGCTCCTCTGTAAAAGCTGACAAAAACTTGGCACAGGAATTTGGCCTTCTTAAGCTTCCTCAAGAAATACAGTTGTTTCTTACGTTTCTTCACCAGCGTGGAGATGTGAGATGACCATGTCACGTTCTCCCTGTTCACCTGCTGTACCTTAGCACCACTGATGTAGACCGGAGTGTTCGTCTTTATCCCCTTTTTCCTAAAATCAACGATCAGCTCCTTAGTTTTGCTGACATTGAGCAGTAGGTTGTTCTCTGAGCACCACTCTGCAAGATTATCAATTTCTTTCCTATGTGGAGCCTCATCATTGTGTGAAATCCATCCGATGATGGTGGTGTCGTCTGTTGGTTCTGAAAGCGAACTGGTGAGGGTCCAGGCAGGCTGGGATGTTGTTCTTTATGTACTGAAGAACTAGTTTCTCAAAGCCCTTCATCAGAATGGGGGAGTGCCACAGGGCGGTAGTCGTTCAGACTAGACACTTCAGACTTATTAGGTACAGGAATGATGGTGGTTTTCTTGAAGCAGGTGGGAACACTCACCTGAGACAGTGAGATGTTGAAAATGTCAGTAATAACATCAACTAGCTGGTTGCCAGAGGTTTTCAGTACACGGCCACGAATGTTATCATACCCAACTAATTTACTCATATTTACTCTCAGCAGGACTCTCCTCACATCTGCTGTGGTCCTCTGGCGCTTGAGTCAACTTTGCAGCAGACTTTTTGTTGAGGACATCAAAGCAAACATAAAAGGGGTTTAGCTCATCTTGTAATGTGGCCTCACACATGATGGGGAAGCGCCTGCTTTTGTAGTTTGTGATGGTTTTGATGGCCTGCTACATATCTTTGGTGATGTTGGTGTTGAGGTGTTTCTCCAGTCTCTGCTGACATTTCCGCTTCACCTCCTTGATGCACCTTTCATTATTTGAGTATGTTATATAAAACATGTTTGTGTATTTGGGTGTCTCTTTTAAATATTTTTTTAAATGCACATAGTGGGATGTTGGTCCCACTGTCTGTCACACTGTATCATATGGACTTAATAGAAAGTATGTAATGAATCATGAAATCATGTTTTTGTGAATCTGTAGTTTGTGCTTGGTGAGGTTAATGTCAGCTCTGTGTTCAGTGGTCTGTGTCTCTTCCTCTTCAGCAGCTGCAGTCGGTTCCTGCTGTAACAGCTCAGTGTCTCCTGCAGTCTGACTGAGGGAGGTTTTTGTACAACTGCACATCACTGTGTGAACACTCCACCACTGTGGTAACTCTGACAGTGATAAACTGCTGCATCTTCAGTCTGAACTCCACTGATGGTCAAAGTGAAGTCAGAGCTGCTTCCACTGCCACTAAACCGAGCTGGTGTTCCTGATTCACGTGTGTTCACACATTTAATAAGGAGCTTTGGAGGCTGTCCAGATTTCTGTTGATACCAGCTTAGACGCTCACAACCACCCGAGCTGTAAACAGCTTGGTTGGTTTTACAGGTGAGAGTGACAGTGGATCCTGGAGTAGATGTCTTTACTTGAGGCTGAGTCACAGACACCTGACTGCTGCATCCTGCACACAAAAACAAATCATTCATTTATCAGCAGAAAGAAATGAGAGAAAAGGCAGCACATCATGTCTGAAATGTTGCTGAGTGAATGAACCTGTAAAACAGCAGCACGCCAGCGTCCAGATGAGGATGGTGATGAGAGTCATGGTGGTTGTGGTTTCTGCCGTGTTGACTGACAGATCTGAGTCCTG